ATTTTGAGAGAGAGGGCGTGAGTGGTGGGGAGGCAGAGAGCGGGAGAGAGAGAGAATCCCAAGCAGGCTCCGTGTGGTCAGCGCAGAGCCTGGTGTGGGGCTCAAACTCACGAACAGTGAGATCGTGACCTGAGCCAAAATCAAGAATTGGATGTTCAACTGACTGAGTCACTCAGGTATCCTGATCATCTTTTTTAAGTATTCCTTTTTCAAAAAAAAAAGCAACAAAATGTCTCAGCAGTAGTTACCTGAGATCTTGTCACTGTCCTGTGGTGCTCGCATTGCAAATGGACATGTTGGAAGACTTGGGTAGGTATTCCTGAGTACTTTTTCTCCCCAAAGACTCCTCCCTCAAAGCTTTCTTTTTGAATAACCAATTTTGTTTTCGGCATTAAATGTCTTTTCCATTAAGGAATTTTTTTTAAAAAAATCAACCTAAACTTAAATGTTATTTGCACGTATAATTGCTAGTAAGTTATACAGGGAGTAAAGGATTACAGGATTTTAGAGCTACGTGAGAATGCAGAAGCCCCCCCAGTTGTGCGGCTACTACCCTCTTCCCCCTCCCCTCGATAGATGTTCACGGAGTGCCTACCGCGTGCCTGATACCACGTGTGTGTGTGTGCGGTCACTCCTGAATCTTCCCTCAACCCTCCTCCCAGAACACAGGGCCGCCAGTTACTTAAAAGCCAAGGGTTGATGGAGGGTAGGAGTCCAGCGCAATATACCAGCATTCTGATGGGACACATTCTGGGGATGTTGCTCCTAAAACCATAATACTACATTCCTGGAACGCCAAAAAGCCAGCGTGACGACCCATCAGTCTGTCATTTTTCGGATGAGGAAGGTAGGCCCGAGAAAGTCAAGTGACTTGTCCAAAGAGAGATACCAACCTAGTGAAGGGGCAGGGATTTCATGGAGGCACAGATGGGGTATCGATGGAAAAATAAGTAAATACACGTGAATATCTTTTTTCTTTTGTTCTTAAAACTTCAGTAATCTCTACCCACAACGTGGGGCTCGAACTCACAATCCCAAGATCGAGAGTCGCATGCTCCACCAACTGAGCCAGCCAGGTGCCCTAAATATATTTTTCTTTGAAAACAGCTTTTTTTTTTTTTT